AGCTCCGGCGGCGGCTCCGGCGGCGGGGCAGGGCGAGGCCGAGGCGGCGGCCACCCCCTACGTGGGGCTGCGGCGGCCGCTTGGCTACAAGTTGGCCAAGGCCACCAAGGAGCGGATCTGGCGGGGGGAGTTCATTGACCTCTTTTCCTTGCTCCACACAGAGCTGGCCCCCGAGCACGGCCCGCGCCCGGGGGACACGCTGGACCAGTGGGTCTCGGCCTTCCTGGTGTACGCCAGCGTGCTGTGCGAGAAGCACCCGGCGCGCTGCGGAGCCATGTTCAAGTACCTGGACACCATCCGCAAGCTGCACGCCACCTACGGCGGCACCTCCTGGATGAACTACGACGAGGACTTCCGGCGGCGGGCGGCCAAGAACCCCACACTGCCCTGGGGCGACGTCGACTTGGACCTGTGGATGAAGTGGATGGCGCCCCTCAAGTCGCTTGTCCCCAGGCGCCCGCGTGCTGAGAGCGAGACACAGGCCTCGCCGGCCCAGCCACCACCGCCGGGCCAGAGCCCCAAGCAGGAGGAGAAAAGCCAGGTGTGATGGGCCGATGGCCGCGTGTTGCTCTGCTCCGCTGGCTGGGCATGGTGCTCCCAAGGATGGGAAGAGGAGAAAGGGGCAGTTGGGGCGCCCTTGTCTTGGTCGGCAGCTCTCATCTCATGGCACTGACCCTTTGCTCGTGTTGACCATAGGGACACGGTATAATGGGTGCCCTTCTGGCCACTGTGAGAGGTGTACACGTGGATGGATGCTCTGAGCAAATGTTTGGGCATTTATTGCTCCAGCCACCAGAAAATAGGAACCCCACTAGTTCCTTCTTTTGGTGTATTTTTGCATTTTCCTGGAGACATTAGAAGAAAGATGTTCTGTGGTTTTGTTCTTTTCCTCTTGAGTTGTCCTTAAAATATCAACTTTTTCAGCAATAGTTATCTGTATGTAAGGCAAAGAGTACAGACTCTCCTGTTACTATGGGAGCATGTGGGCAGTTGCAGTCAGCATGGTATGGCAGAAATTGATACGAATAAAGATAAACTTCAATAAGAATGGCCACAGTGTGCAAATTCACCATGATTTGAAGATTAAACCTGTTTTGAGGCTCACTAGATTTAATCTACAAGTTAGAGCTGGAAAAGGATGATGGGTGTGATTAGGAGAAGTAGAGAGGATTTTGTGTACTTGGTTTGCTTTCAGTAGAAGTATCACTATATGAATTGGTGTAACCTGTGGTGGATGCAGGCAGGTTCTACCCTTTCTTCTGCCTGAGACATGATGCTGAGCTCCACAGCTACAGCAGGCTGCCTGTCTATATTAGGGGTTGTGCTGCTTCTCTTACGCTGGTGACTGCAGTCTGCCAAATCCCCAGCACAGAAAATTCAGCTGAATGCCGAATGTTGAGCTTCATGCCAGCTGAATGGTGACAGAGAGTTTCTGTTATATTGGCTGTGTTTATTTTTAACCAGTTTTTTTTTTTTTACAACTGTAGAAAGAACCTTTGCCTTCCAAAAGAATTGTTGTTTTATAGGATGCTGTGCTTGTCTGGGATTGCCAGCACAGAGGGACCAAGTTCTTTGACTCATGTTAGCCTGATCTGTTTTCAAGCCATCTGAAAGTGCTTGGTGTATCACACCAAGTCTTGCCTTTGGTACCTATCAAAAGTAACTTCTGTAGGCCTATCTGTGACAAAGAAAGGGAGCAAACACCACACAGTAAGATAGATAAACCCAGGCCTGTTGGCCTTGCACCTTCCGTGGTTGATGCTCTGTGTTCTGCAACTTTTTCTGATACGTCTGTTTACATTTCTCCATTCTTAAGGTGAACAGCTCAGTTCTTGTTTTCCTGCAGATCTTATGTGAGCACCAGATGGGCAATGGCTTATAGCTTTCATGTCATCTGAGACTGGACCTTCAGCTTGTCATGTTAACCACTCTTTTAACTTCTTCAACAGCAGCTGGTCTGTCAGTGCTGAGCTTTGTTCTGTTGTCTGCTGAGGCACCAGGGGGTCTCGATCCGTTTGATTTCATGGAAATTTCCTGGTTGATTTTTATCAGTAGCATTGATGTATTTTCCCCCCAGAAAATGTGTAAAGAAAAAAAAAATAAACATGTTTATTTTGATGCTTACAAAATATCAAAAGTCTGATGTTTGTAAAATGAGTAGTACTTCAACAGCACAATGAAAAAGTGAAACTTGTGCAATTAATTATTGTGGTTTCAGCCACCTTTCTGTTATTAGAGCAGCTTTTAATTGGTAGCATATAGTCTCTTACATGTGTTCAAAAATGTCCTTAAATGATGGTTTAGGCAGCTGTCAAATGTAAATGTATAGTCTCTTACATCTGTTCAAAAATGTCCTTAAATTAAATGATGGTTTAGGCAGCTGTCAAATGTAAATGAGGCCCAGGATAAAGCTTATCATTGGTAAGGTTGCAGCAAGGAAATATTTTCTTGGAGGTGGCCTGTGTGTTTCCCCATATCTCCCCAGTTCCTTGCAAGCTCTCTTTATGTTGTGTAAAACTACTTCAGCAAAATAAAATGTGACATCACACTTGGGCAAAAGAACTGGAAAATTAAAATGGGAGAGAATGGCCTTTTATGGGTTTAAGAGTTTGGACAGAACCTAAGCTTTTCCACATTCACACTGTCAAGAGAAAGAGGAGGTGTTTTACAAAAACATTTTACCAGGCTGTTGTTTTGAAATAATTTTCTTTTTGTAGTTTCAAAAGATAGGGTTAGGCAGCCTGACTGGATTTTGTTCCCCCTTTTAGTCCAAGACTCCTTGAATTTCAGCATCATTTAGTTTAGTGTCTGTATCCCTAAGTCTGCATTTCCACAGGTGGTTAAACAGTAAAAATTAAGTCAAAGTGTAGAAAGCGTTGTGTCTGAGCACAACTGTCCTTGCACAGCTGTCCTTTCTAAGGCGCTGGTGAAGAGCTGTAACTTTGCATTACATGGAAAGAACAAAATGGGAAATCTAGTTTTAGTTGGAGTGCAATAATTGGCGTGTGTGTAGGATAGCTGAGAGTCATTCCTGCAAATTTATGTCTGTGTGTATAACTTCAGACAACTCTCTTTTTTTCCTCAGACTCCATGAAAACAGAAGACCAGTTGGGATGGGAGTCAGACTAAGTGGGTGAGTTTACTTATAAAACTTAATACCTTTGGATCTTAAATATTTTCAGATTTGTTAAATACAGAATTTCTTATTGGTGCCAACAGCCTGACTCCGTTGGTGTTTAAGTGGAGCTCTGGTATTCTAGTGCATTCTTTTACCTCTGCTTCTGTTGCGTTGCAAGCTGTGCTAGAGAAGACGTAGGAAATTCATTTTACCCAATCAGCAATTGTAACAGTGGACTACAAACCTGCAGAGCAAGCCAGTTTGCTGGAAAACAGGAATTCCTGCAGCGCAGCACTTGTCACAGACTATCCAAAGAGGGCAAAGATTCAGGAAGGTGAATTGAACAATGGTTGAATGAGGTCAGGAACACTCTCCCGGAGGAGAATCCTGCCCTAAAATACTACTTTGAAAGTAAAAGCCAATTTAATGCGCAGATTAAACCTTCTCATTTGACCAAACTTGTGTGCAATCCTGGATCTTTGCAGATCGCAACCGGACACTTCAAAACCCTGTGTATTATATTTGTTTAAAAAAAATAAATCATAACTTGTCTTGTTACAGCTATTACTTTTGCCATTTCATTGAGAGTATCTTCAACATAAATGTGTATTTGACTCAGAAAAGTATCATACACTCGGGATAATAACTCAGGTTGTCAACAGAATTGTTCTGTGAGGCTCACTATCTTCTTTCCATTGTTCTGCATTAACCATTGCTGTCATTGTCAGGTAGCCCAATTGTGCATTACAAAATTCTTCATAAATTATAATGATTTACCTAAGTTATAATTTTGTTTTTATCCTAATAGAATACTTAAAATCTTGACCATCAGACTAGACCTTTGTAGTCTGGTGTTCTTGAAAATATTTTTCACTGATTCATAGTTTTCATTCTGCATCTCAGTATTTTGCTTTCTTTTTCCTTGCATACTAAGGGGTATGGTCAAGGTAATACTGTGATCCAGTAATGCGCATGATGGTAAGGGTTTGCCTTTAGTTGTTTCAGGAAAAAGCTGCCCTTATGTCCTCTCCCTTTCTCAATATTTCCAATAATCTGCATAACATAAAGTGTTTGTAAATTGATATCAAACTGTTTGTGACTTCACCTAAATAAATTTTTTTATTTAAATGCTATTCTTAATCTTACCGGGTTTTTTCCTCCCTTGTTCTTGTATTGCCACTTCACTTTTGTATTCACTTTTTTTATCACCTGACTTTTTACACAATTTCTGGTTTTCGGTTATTAAAGCGCAACTGCAATTTTAATTAACAAGTGAAAATAAATTAGCCTTTGGAATTTTCTTCCAATATTTTGCATAAAGACTTCATAATGTAGCTGTAGTTATTGTAGTAGTTATTCGTCTGCCAGTTTTTGAGACAGTGATAGCACTTATTGGGCCTTGAAAATGAAATAGCTTCTGTACTAAGATACCAGTATCTTAATACCAGGCCTTCAAACTGAAACTGATGTAGTGAATGCTGAGATTGCTGCATTTGATACAGTAGAATATAGAGCACGTTACATGTTACAAAATTAGTTTTGTTTTCAAGAAGGGTCTTAAGCTCAGTCGTCTGATCACTCATGCTATTTTTCCCTTGCCCTCCTGTTTTAAGAAATCAGGACTTGGTTACTCACTGGTCTGTGCTGTGTTTGTTACCATCATTGCTACATGAACCACATGGCTGCTCCATCATCACTGCAGGCATCTCTGCCTGAGCAAGTGCTGTAGTGTCAGGATTTGGGGAGAGGTCTGGGAAGAGGTGGATGTGGGGTGAGGAAGAGTGAGCAAAAACTGGTCTTGTCTGTCTCCCTGATGAATTATACAAGAGTGGGTTTTAACCTACAGGCTCAGAGCAGCAAAGCAGCAAGTTTTGTTTTCTGTGTCCGCTTTGAAAGCAGCCTAGCCAGCTGGAGTCTAAAACACTTCCTAATGTTCTTTGCTGAGTCCTTCTGCCAAGAATGTTTTGGGTTTGTTTGTTACTCTCTCCAGCTTTCATACAGTCTGGTGCCCTTCCTGGCACTGTCTCCGCCCAGTCTCCTGGTTGCTGCTGGTTCTGGGTTGGACCACCCTGTCTTTCATATCTGCTGTAGAGAATTGCCAGAGCTCTACCTTGCTCTGCAGTGTCAGTGGCTGCTTTAAAGTCACTGCCGCTTTCATAAAGAAGTTGTGTTTCATGTTATATTGATAGTGATGTTTTTGCAACATGTGGGACCTCCTCCCCTCTTTGCTGTTTTTCCTCACTCTGAGCCACCCTGTAATTTCTCTGTGGTACTTGTGCATCCTTGCATTAGGGTTTATTGTTGCGTCTGTGCTTTGCCTCTCATTGCTGTTCTGTAAGGTGCTGCAGGAAATTTCCTTCTGCACTAGTTTCTCATTCAAATGTTGGACTTCAAGGGGTTTCTTCAAATTTCAGCTGTTAAGTTACTGCCTGGGTTTGCCTCTATCCTTGACACTGGGGATAACTCTTTAACTAAGTGTTGTGTGAGGATAGGGCACACACTTGGAGAGAGGCTTGGGATTGAATCATGATTCTGTTACTCTCGGAGTAACTGTGATTTGCAGTGGAAACCAGTGATACATAAGGAGTTATTTTTCTACAAATACTATTTCACTAAGTGCTATTTCATAGTTGGGGGATGTCTTTAGTATAGTTGCAATTTCTTATGCTTTGCTCAAAAGATTTTGAGCATTTCAGAGGTGCTGCAAAGCTTTTCACTAAGACTGATGGAATTTCCAGTTGGGAATATTTGTGAAGTGTGTGGGAATTGATTTGTATGGGAGGACCAGCAGCTTATGGAAAAACAGGTTTTTTCTCAGTTAACTAGATTTAAGGAGCATACTTTTGAGGAGTAATTTCAAATAAGTTTATTTGTAGGGATTTCTAGCAGGATAGCTTTTTTTTCCTCACAGATGTGCTTTTTCATGTGCTGGATTTATATGCATTGTTATTGGAAAGAGCAAATCAAAACTAATGCAGTGTGATTCTGACAGCACAAAAGTGGCAATGCAGGGAGAAGACTAAAATACATAGTTCTTCCAGTAAGCTGATGTACTTGGGGAGTTCAGAATTGAGCTGTACCAGAAGTGCAGTCAAATGGGATTTCTAACTCCCACCTGTGTGCAGCAGTTCAGTTTGAGGTATTTGAAGCATCTGAAAAGACCAGGCTGTTACTACTTTCTGGCCTTATTAGTACAATGATGTGTCTTTGAAGATAAGATGACAGCAGAATGTTTTGCATGTGAGGTAGGCTGTTGCACCTGCAGCTGAGCAAAATTACTTCCGATCTCTGACGAGATCTTCTCACTGTGTCTTCCAATTTAAGCTTCAAACATTAAGCAAACATTACTTTCCTATCTTCTGCTGTCTTGAATCATCTTACCAACTTGGTTATCTTCTTTATAAAAATCTGGTGAGCACAGCAGACATCTGAGGGCAGCGTGTGATCAGCCTGTCTGTACGTACGGAGCCTTTTGCTCCCTGTGGGTAGTTCTGCCAGGTTCTTCCTAGCATGAGGGAAGTCAGAGAGTGTTTTGAGTGTGGCTGAGTGAAGAGCACACAGGAGGCTCCCCAGCTACCTGCAAGGCTTGTGTGGTTTTGAGAAGCCAGTTGTTATTGGCAGCATTTTTTTCTGTCCACTCCTGTGGTAAAATCAAACCCAAAAGCCCCAGAGACTGTTGTAACCATTGAGGGAAGGGATGTGACTCAGTTCTAACAGGCTTGGTATTGGTGGAAATGTTGCCTGGTGAAGTTACCAAACTTCTTTTCAGGTCATAGGCCTAACAGGGACTGCAACAATTGATAGTGTCTGTGGGAGTGCTTTTGGTAACTCTTCCCAAGAAGAGATTATGTCTCTGAAAACTTAGCTGGAGAAACTATAAAGATCTTATTTTCCCCTCTTGCTTTGGTGTCCAGGTTTGGTTTTTACCCTGTCATGAAGTTTAGCATGCCTCAGCCCAACCCAATAAAGGACACTTTGATCCATAAAATCTTCTGGATCCAGGATTTTTTTTTCTTCACCTGGGAATTGTCATCAAAACCACTTGGCATTGGTGCAGTTTAGCAGTTTGCTGGACAATCAGCTAAAGAGCAGCAGAGATTTAAATAGCAGGAACATGTTTACAATATTTTACTATTTGTAAACTTGAAATAATTGAATATGTACTTTTACCTTTTTTGGTGGTTGTAGCTCTTTCTGTACTTTAAAGAATACTTTATTTTCTGCAACATCTCAGTGCACTGTTGCTGTGTCAATATTTCCAAGGCAGCAGGGGAATGTTTACATAAAAACATCTAAGTGTTTTCTTTAAATTTTTTAATTGCAAACATTTGCGTCCATGAAATCCTTGCACAAAACTTAGGTAACTTTTTATTTATTCTGCTCAAAGCTAAACCTGGATCATATTCAGTTTCCAATTTTTATTTTTAATTTTCTGAACCGTGCCATGTGAACATTTTATCTGAACCTACATCAGCAGATGCAGAAGATTCCACCTGCCACTTCAAATGGCAGTCCTAATGATCTGAAGTCAGGAGCAGTTGTTTAAAACCGGCTGCATTGCTCACACTGGCTGCAGTGTAAGTGCTTTTCATATAAGCACCATCTGCATTGCTGATACTCAGTGTCCATATATGCCTTCTGTTAGCCCCAAATATGAGGTTACGTGAAGGTAGTGGGCAGGAAAGTGTGATGATTTTCGTTGTTGGTGGGGCTGCTTAGTTGATAACCTGCAACACAACATGGTGGCAGAGGACCTGGACTGTGTGTCCAGGAGTAGATATTCCTGGCATAAACAGGGACAAGGTATGCCCTTGAAATGTGTAACATGAGCTAAGAGTTCAAACCTCCTCTGCCTAAACTTCCCACCTTGCACTTGGGCATTCTGGCATGTGTCTTCCACCATGCTTGCTTAGTCTCAGCTCCTGGTTTTTTTTTACTTTGTAACAGTGAAATGTCATTGATGGTGTTTGGAACAAAGAAATGCCACCAGGGCAGGCAGATGGTTCTCTGCTGGGTACATCTCCCTGGGATGGTCTATGCAGTGCTAAGGGAGGGGATTGTTTTCCTCATCTTTTAGCTGTGGAATGACAATTACACAAGTACTTAACAGAGGTGCTGGAATTACAAATGTTACCAAGTCCACACTGGCAATAATAAAGTAAGGTTGGTTTGAGGTGGGGAAATATCTGTGGGTGTCTTTGCTCAGGGCATGCAGGTGTGTGTCTTGCTGCACTTGGTGTGACTGAGTAAAGTCCTTGTAGTGGTATTGGACTGGGAGAAGCATTTAGTTTTCCTGTGTCATTTTCCTTGTCCTTCTCCCTCATCAGAACTCTCCCAAGCGGTGTATGTGACCTTGTTATTGAGTATTGGTGGATAACAGGGGAAATCTCACTACCATTACATGGGATTGCTGGGAGAAATTAGTGAGTTTAACCTGTAAGATCATGAAATTTTTCCAGGAGCAGCACAAAATATTTGGTGGTATTCAAAGGCAAAAATAGTGACTTTGAGGGTACCCAGTCTGTCACGTACCTATTGAGGAAAAGAAGGTACAACTTTGTGGCTTAGTGTGGCCAGTGGAAAAGCTTTGGGCAGAATATCTCAATGGGGTTTGGTTGCAGAAAGTAAATTACAGTTGTATCAGTATTGCTGCAGGTGCTCTGTGGACCAGAGCAGAAAAGGGAGCCCTGGCCAGCAGGGGAAGCTGACCAGGCAGTCAGTGATGGTGATCCACCAAGCTTGAGGGCATTTCATGGAACTGATTACAGAACTACGGAGCCCACGGAGAGACCTTAAAAGACCATTTTTCTTGTTCCTTAGCATGCTTTAAAAAAAACCTCAAAACAACAGAAAACCACACAGCCACAAAGTGCTTTCATTGTAATACTGGAATATAGTTGCAAATGCTTTCTGAGAGGACAGTGGGTGATACCTGATATACACCATTTCCTACCATGCATTTTCTGTTTTAGATGTTTTGATTACCTGCAAGTGAAATGGAGTAAAATTTCATCTTTCAGTGTTATTAGAAAACAATACAATTTACCTGTGTATTAAGACAAAATGTTCTTTACTTTTGTTAGCAAGCATTTAAAACCATGTTTGATTTGTTTGGAGTTTTTTGTCAGTGCTCAAAGCATTGAAA